GCATTCAAGAAGTCCATGGGATCCTCTAGCTGTGGGTAGTGCCTAATGTGGTCATCCAGAATCGACACTGTGGAGCGTGGCAGTGTTTTCCTGTACAGCTCCAAAAACTCTGGGTAGGGGTTCAAGGGATCCAATGGCCCGTAGATAAAATGAATGGGAACAGTTACAGAGGCCAGGGCGCCCACCCAGCGTCTTCTAAACTTCTTCCTCTGGTTGATGTACTGTAGGAGACTGTCAATAACAAAGTTCCTGTCATTGTTACGAATCCCTGCCCATATGTCCCGCAGCTCACTCTCGGAGGGCCGGGTGTAGGGCCCAAAGATGGAGGTCAGACCTCGAGAGAACACAAAGAAGTTCATCAAGCGTGTGAGAAAGGGCGACAGCAGGCCTCCATCTTTGAGTAGCTTCTGGAGAAGGAGAGGACGGTGAGTCTCAGGAAAGATACTGCCATTTGACAGACACAGACTCTTGATGGTGAGCCGCCCAGATCGATTCTGCTTGTACCTGTAGAGCAGTTCCTGCACCACAATGTTCCTATAGTCGTGAGACAGATGGTTGACCCTACAGTTCTGGAGCTCCAGATGCCGCAAGAGTGCCTCCACGATGCTGGCCTGCTCAAATATGAAGTAGTGGTGCGGTCTCGGTTTGTCACTGAAGCCAAAGCCCAAGAAATCCAGAGCAATTACTCGATGAAACCTTAGGGTCAGACCTTCCCAAATCTTGTACCAATCGTAGCTGGATGCTAGGAAGCCATGTAGTAGAAACACAATCTCTGGACTTCCCACCACACCCACAGAATCTTGGTAGAAGATGCGCAGTCCCTTGTAGGTGAAGAATTTGCCTGAGGATTTCCATGAGTGAAGTGCTGGGGATAGTGGGATGTGGACATAGGGGAACATATAAATAAGATGTGGTGCTATGGGCTAATTTGCTGGAGTGTAAGGTTGGTTTGAACTGTAAGGTCAAGTATTCAAGGTCACCAATTGCTCCTCAGAAACCCTATACAGGGTCACTATGAGCTGGAACCAACACAACGGCACTTAACAACAATAATTCTCACTTTATTTTATGCTCACAAATCTCAAGTTTGTCCTCACAACTAGCTCACAATCTTAGTAGTTTGCTATATAATGTCTCCACAAACCCAAACAATTTTGTTGCCTTTTCATTTCTATTTCTTATACCCAGACCTCCCTCTTCTATCAAATGGTAACTGTCAGTTCTAATTCTACTACAAAATAAAAGTAAAGTTCTATCTCACATCAACTTTGTACCAAAAAATATGAGTATGTCTGTTGCTGTTAAGTGCTGTTGAGTAGATTCTGACCCACACTGACCCTGTGTAGGGTTTCCAAGGAGTAGCTGGCAAGATTGAATGGCAACCTTGGGGTTCAAATCAACTGTGCAGTCCAGTGCCTAAACCCACAGTGCCACACCAGGACTCCATGATTATGTCTTGGTCTCTCTTTATACTACCTTTTTTTTCTGTTTAACAGTGATTAATTTTCCATCCTTGATCCAAGTCAATCTTTATTTGTATTCTGGATTCCACTCCAATTATTCTGAATAGAGGGTCCTTTGCTCTTTTAATTATCACCTTCTGTAACCTACTAATGATCCCCACTCTGCTGGTCATTTCCAAAAACTAAGACACATACTGCAAGTGCTTTCCCCTGCTGCCACCTCACTTTTCTGTACTTCTAAGAGGAAAATACAATATTCAACATACTCTTATTTTCTCTTGATTGCATTCCAATTAGGCATTTCTTCCTAGCCCACTTTAAAACAGCAATGTCAAAAAAATTCAAATTTATCAAAATCAATGATTTCTTGTCTTATTTTAAATGTTCAACAATATCAGGAAACATTGATTACAGAAAGCTTGTAAGCCCATCTTCAGCCTATAAC